AGGGGGAGGAGGTGCTTCAGGCACTGGAACAGAGATGCCCCTGCAGCCATGGAGGGTAACAATGGAGCAGAGCTCCACCTGCAGCCCATGGAGGTCTGCATTGGTCATAAGCCAGCACAGGTTCACAAGGGGAAGTGCTGCTTGACTAACTTAATTTCCTTTTCTGACGAGGTCACCCATCTAGTTGACCAGGGGAAGCCAGTAGATGTGGTTTTGAATTTTAGCAAAGCTCTTGATACTGTCTCTCACAGTATCTTTCTGGACAGAATGTCTGGCACACAGCTAGACAAGTCCATAGTATGTTGGGTGCAACTGGCTGACAGATCAGCCTTAAAATACAGTTACATCAGGCCAGCAGCCAGTCACCAGTGGGGTTCCCCAGGGCTCAATTTGAGGGCTAGTGCTCTTTAATGTTTTTATAAATTATCTGGATGCAGGAGTCTAATGTGCATTAAGTAAGGTTACCGATGATACTAAACTCGACAGAACTTTGGACTCCGTCGAGGGTAGGACTCCCTACCCACAAGGGAGTCCACAGCTTACAGAAAGAGGTGGATAGACTAGAGAGCTGGGCAATTGCCAATGGTCTGAAATTTAACATGAGCAAGTGCCAGATTCTCCACCTGGGATGGGGCAGTCCTGGTTGTATGTACAAATTAAGGGATGAGAGGCTGGAGGGCAGACCCACAGAGAGAGATCTGGGGTTTGGGTTGATGTCAAGTTGAATATGAGTCAACAGTGTGCCCTGGCAGCCAGAAGGGCCAACTGGGCCCTGGGGTGCATCAAGCACAGCATCACCAGCCGGTTGAGGGAGGTGATTGTCCCACTCTGCACTGCACTGGTGCGGCCCCACCTCCAGTACTGTGTGCAGTTTTGGGCACCTCAATACAAGAAGGACATCAGACTATTAGAGTGTGTCTAGAGGAGGGTGACCAAGATGGTGGAAGGTCTCAAGGGTAGGACATACAAAGAGCGGCTGAGGTCACTTGATTTGCTCAGCTTGTAGAAGAGAAGGCTGAGGGTTCCCTCATTGCAGCCTATGACTTCCTCAAGAGGCGCAGTGGAGAGGGAGGTGCGGATGGTCCTCTCTGGTGACCAGTAATAGGACACAAGGAGATGGAGTGGAGCCACATCAGGGGAAGTTCAGCTTGGGCATTAGGAAAAATTTCTTCACTGAGAGGGTGGTTGGTCACTGGAAGGGGCTCCCCAGGGAAGTGGTCATGGCAACAAGTCTGTCAGAGTTCAAGGAGCATCTGGACAATGTTCCTGGTCATATGGTTTAGTTTTAGGTAGTCCTGTGAGAAGCAGGGAATTGAACTCCTTATGGTCCCTTCCAACTTGAGATATTCTGTGGTTACAGTGTGTGCTTCATTAGGTTCTTGATCTATAGATGATTTATACCTGTGCCTGTTCTGCACTGAATTGTGATTTTTGAATAATAACCTGGAAAAATAAACACGTTAAAGCAATACTGAACTTCCGCCATTTGAGGTAGATGTGAGCACTGACCCTTTATTTCCCTGTACACACATGAAGTGAAGATAAGTAGTTATGGAAACACAGTAATACACAAAAACATGCATGACTTTTTCTGTACTTAATGAAGAAATGCTACTATTTCAGCAGCTGGCTGTATCCTGTGAATATAATGGCTGGAATGCAGTTTTTGCTGCGATTACGTTCTTAATACCTACATCAACCTAGCAGAAATTCTGGAGTGATACCCAGCAAAAAGTAACAACGATGTTGAAGCAGATACATGATTTCTAATTTGTGTTGTTAAATGCAGTACCCTGCCTGGGCAGCTTGCGTAGCTGACTGTCCTAGTGTCCTTGGTGTGTGTGTATTTGTGTGCATCCCTGGGATACATACTCAGCTTGCTACTTACTAGCTGAACTTAGAAACGGGAAAGCAATAGCTGTTTCCATCAGCCTGGAATGAAGAGCCATCAGAGGGTCTCACAATGCTCTAGATTGGGCTCCGCAGTCAGAAAGAAAGAGTCCCCAGGTCTCAGAGTCTGCTGGAAGTGGTAGCCTTTGTAGCATACCTTAACAGCTTTTGTCCCTCAGCCCCTCTCGACTTTCTTAGAATTCCGGGATGCACAAACCCTGCTACAGATCACTGGTGTAGTCTCATTTCTTCCGGGGAGCACAGGGTCTTACCTAGGCACCGGGTCTTTTACACAATTGTCATGTGCATAGTAGACAGCAAATCTAACACCATATAAATGGCCAGCTAGCATATAGTGGAACCTAAACAATGTAGAAATCTGAATTGGAAGAATCTTGTACATAATTAGTCCCTTGTATTAATGTCGTATATCGTATATGCTGTTGGCTAAAGTCTTCCATGTAGCTCTAGTGAGCTTTCTGATTTGTTCCTTTATTCAGAAGCATATATGCATGTTCCACTCATTAGCAGCACTGCAGGCTGTTTGGACAAAGTGTCCTTCAAAGTTGAGTTTTTAATTCATTGTTCAAGTATTTTCTAGTCTGACAATCCATCTTTTTACTGTATTACAGGTAGTATTACTATTACTTTTTACAGTATTACAGGAGGGCTACTGGAGTCCTTGCTGGAGATTGTCAACAGTATTGCTTATTAGTCTAGCAGGCAGCTGCTTAACAGTTATGCTTTCAAACCTGTTGTTACTTTAGCCACAGAGATACAAAAATCAGACTTGTTTTTGGCTTTTGTAGCATTAGTCTGGACTGCCGTGCATAATGCATAAGAGTTTTTGTTTGGTAGCTTTTTATTACTCTGATGCAGGTTTTGTGTCTTATGTTTGAAGCAGAAGATGGTAAGACTCTCGATGGTTGTCTAGTTTTTGTAGGAGTTCTCATACAAGCCTTTTTCCTTATCGTAGAACGTTCCAACATAAGGAATAGCACTATTAACCGTCTTTAACCAGCTTCGTAGAATCATAGAATCACTTAGGTTGGCAAAGACCCTTAAGATCACAGAGTCCAACTATAAACTTAACACTGCCAAGTCTGCCACTTAACCATGGCCCTAAGAGACACATCTACACGTCTTTTGAACACCTCCAGGAATGGTGACTCAAGCACTTCCCAGGGCAGCTTGTTCCAATGCTTGATAACCATGTTGGTGAATAAATTCTTCCTAATACCCAATGTAAACCTTCACTTGCACAGCTTGAGGCTATTTCTTCACATCCGGTGACTTGCTACTTGGGAGAAGAGACCAACACCCACCTCATTACAACCTCTGTTCAGGTAGTTGTACAGAGCAATAAGGTCTCTCCTCAGCCTCCTTTTCTCCAGGCTAAACTACCCCAGTCCCGTCAGCCTCTCCTCATAAGACTTGAGCTCTGCACCCTTCACCAGCTTTTTTGCTCTTCTCTGGAGCTGCTCCAGCACCTCAATGTCCTTCTTGAGTTGCGGGGCCCAAAACTGAACACAGGATTCAGGGTGTGGCCTCACCAGTGCCGAGTACAGGGGCACAATCACTTCCCTAAGTCCTGCTGGCCACATTATTTCTGATGCAGGCCAGGATGCCGTTGGCCTTCTTGGCCACCTGGGCACACTGTTGGCTCATCTTCAGGTGGCTGTCGACCAACGCCCCCAGGTCCTTTTCAACCAGGCAGGTTTCCAGCCACTCTTCTTCAAGCCTGCAGCATTGCATAGGGTTGTTGTGACCCAAGTGCAGGACCCAGCACTTAGCCTCTGGTTGTCTTCATCATACAACACTAGTATTTCTTAGGATGACAAGCTTAAATCACCGAGCATTTCTGAGAAGGGAGTCCTCTCTGATATCTCAGTATTCTGTCAGGGGCTGATGTGTAAGGTAGAAAGATAATTTTGACTTGCTGGAATCAGCTGATCTTGCTGAGATGTGCTGCAGTATCACACACAGAGGTGGAGTTTACGCAGGTGTGATGTCTTCTCCATGTATTGCATTTGTGCATTTCAAAAGATGGTTAGAAAAGATGTAGGTAATCTGGGCCAAGTCGTAATTTGCCATGTTAGTGATATTTAGTTGATTCCTGCTTTATTTTAAGGTGCTTCTGTATTGAAAACATCACACTTCTCACTGTATTTTTGCTCTTGATTTCAGTCTTGTTGGAAACAAGTGGTTCTCTCTCTTAAAAGATGACAGAACATGGGAGTCTTTCGTGTGGCAAGCTCTACACAAAGAAAGAATTTTATTTTCCCCCAGGCATATTTAAGAATAAAATAACATCATAGTAGTGCTCTACTGATCTGCTTTGGTAAAGTTCAGTTGATAACTTCAATCTAGACAGTAGTTTTTTCCTTGCTTTGATAGCTGCTGGTTGACATTGTGTATGATACAGAGATGTGGAGAAAGTCGGAGAAGATGACAAACGGGAATAAGGAGGACAGGATTACAAAAAAAAAAAAAAGAAAAAACCCGAGGTACTAAAACCTTCTTGTAAGCTATATTCTTACAGGAAATGAGCAAGTGGACAAATTGCCAGTCGTACTTGAAACTAGATACTACGGTACATACTGGTGGAATAGTTAAGCAGTGGATTATGGATCTTGAATTGGAAAATATAATACAGTATATTGCTTCTCTTGTTAGACTGGTGATAAAAACCTTTGTTAAGTAGAAAGCTCTGGAAGACTTTACTAATAAATGGCATCATGTTTCAGAATATGAATAGATGACTGTTAAATCCAGCAGTTCTCTTAGACAGTAACTGTCCTTATTCATATTCATGTCTGAACAAAATTAAAATGCTACTTACTTTCTACTAATCCCTAAAGTTCCATGTGTGTTTGTGGCAAGTAGTGCAGTATAAAACCAAATAAGCAGAACGCTGCACCACAGACTATAGTTAACTTCTTTTTCTTAAAGGTTATAAATATTGTAGACAGCATATCAGATTTTCAGTTTATCAGTAACATTTCCTTTCAAACAACTAGATGGGTTCTTACAGAGTTACTGAAAAGATGTTTATTAGAATAGGAGACTGTTTCCCAATAATTAATCGTCTTTTGTTTTCTTAGCCTCCTCCAGGAAATGTGAAAATGCCTAATGTACCCAGTACCCAGCCAGCAATAATGAAACCAACAGAAGAACCACCTGCTTACACACAAATTGCGAAGGTTTGTCTATAACATTCAAGCACTAGGTTCCTTTTAATTATGATTATTTAATTACACTTCTGGAATAATGTCTTTTGTAAATAAGCATTGCTTTCAAAATGATTTATGAAAATTAATAACTGCCTTTAAGTAATCAGTTAATACACAAATTCATGCAATATTAGGTCAGTCTTCATCCATAACTGGAAAAGCTTAATTATAGAAAACAGACTTGGATTATTTATTTTGTCTTCATATTTTATTACCAATATCTAATGATCTTTGTTTTGTTTAGGAGCATGCTTTGGCCCAGGCAGAACTCCTAAAGCGTCAAGAAGAACTGGAAAGAAAAGCAGCTGAACTAGATCGCAGAGAAAGGGAAATGCAGAGTCTCAGTCAGCAGGGGGGTATGCATGAAAAAAAATACTTCTTTAAAATGCAGAAATTGCACTTTTCCTTAGAAACTGTCTTAGTTTTACAGTCACATTGTGAAACAGATCAAAGAGGGGGTTTCATACTCCCTTCAGGAAGAGAAAGTTTGTCTCCTTTGAGACAGGACAGACAGTGAACAAAACCTGGCCTATCCTGTGCAGATTTTCACTGTAAATATTTTAAATGTGGCGTCTGTTAAATGTTACTCTCTGCTATCAGCTATTTTTATTCTAGGTTAATATCTGTGTAATACTGTGGAACAGAAATGGATCATTTTGAGAAGAAGTAAAAGTAACTTCATAAGTAACATCTCATTGATTTATTTTCTGTCAGTATTCATAGCTGTAGGAGAATTTTTCTGTTTTGAAACATTTTCCTATCTTTTGCTGTGTTACAGAGATAGTATTTTATGGAATTATCAGAATATCTATTCTATTAATCTTTTATTAATTTTTCATATGACACTTTGGAACCCATAGTCAAAATCAGTATCTCATTTTGCCACAAACTGTAAGCATGCTGTGCAAAGCCATCATATGTATATCATATGCCAACTGCGTACGGCAGTTTCAAAAATGAGAAGATTCACCTGCTCTTAACTGAAGGTACTTTGCAAGAAGTAGACCTATAGGAATATTACTTTTCAAAAGGAAGAACTTTAGACTGAAGTTAGGAAAAAAAAAGAAACCAAAACTGTGTGCAAGGTTGACTTTGGTCTTTTTGCTTGTTTCTAGAATTCCAAATGGGTTATTTCCACATATACTTGGTTTTTTGAATACGCAGTGGTACAACTCCAGATTGCATAATTGCTTAGTAATTAAAATTCTCAGGGAATTTTATGGAATTGAGTATTTTCAGTAGGAAGGGACCTACAGTGATCATCTAGTCCAACTGCCCAACCACTTCAGGTCTGAACAGAAGTTAAAACATGTTTTTGAGAGCATTGTCCAAATGCCTCTTACACACTGACAGGTGTGGGGCATCGACCACCTCTCCAGGAAGCCTGTTCCAGTGTTTGACCACCCTCTCGGTAAAGAAATGCTTCCTCATGTCCAGGCTAAACCTCCCCTGGCACGGCTTTAAACCATTCCCATGTGTCCCATCACTGTATTCCAGGGAGAAGAGATCAGCACCTCCCTCTGTACCTCCCCTCCTCAGGAAGCTGTAGAGAGCAGTCATACGGCAGCATCTGGGAGTGGGGAACTGCTATTCTAAGGAAGAGAATTGTGGTGATATTGTCCCTTCATTAAACCATTTTTATTTTCTCAGTATTTGTTCTTTTCAATCTCTCTATTAAATCTCTGTACCTCTTCTCCCAGATAATGATGTTTTTTGTGTTTTTTTAATTTCCTTCTCCATGTATTGCCCTTCACCTAATTTCATTAATTTATATTGATGGTCTGGATTGATTACTTTCTCTTCCAGGCTTTAGGGACAGTTTTGTTCATCTGTATCTTAGAAAACGTAACTCTGATGATCCATGCATGTTTCAGGATATTTCTAAAATGGGTATTTGTTATTAGGTTGCAGTTGTGTACTTCGAAGTGCTTGAAGAATCCATGAATAATCTAAAGGATTCTTTAGGATGGCTGAACAGAGAAGAGAGAGCTCTTAAAACTTGAAGGAAGATACTAATTTTTTACCAAATGACTGTGTAAAAGATGCTGCAAATCAGGAATTGTATATTGTGACTGAGAACAGTATTATTTTCCTTTTGATTTGTTTTTTTCTTTTGTGCCCTCATTTGAACTCCTTCGGAAACACTGTAGAGTTGTCTTGATTGGAGGACAGGGTCTTTTGGAGTACTCTAGCTATTTTCATTCAATTTAAGATGCTGGCTGCACATCTGGGACACTGTTGTCGTATTCATATGCAGTTGACTACATTGCAGAGATCTTCAAATTTGTAGCTCAGATCAGCTCAATGGCTTCGGTCTTCTCTACTCAGGTCCTGTGCAGCATTGCATTTGAGCTAATTAAAGTGTGTTGCTTCTTATTTCAGGTAGTTCATTTCAGCATGCCTGAAAATCTCTTTCTCTGCTTTCATGGTGCTAGTTTGGGGGTGTATGCATTCACAGAGTAGGCATGCCATTGAAGTTGTGTTAATAGGTCTTGAGGTTGTAACTCATGTTGAGTGAAGAAACTCTGGGCTAACTCTTTGCTTATCAAGATACAATCTTGGAATATAAGTATACAAAGGGTATTTAGAAAAAAGACCAGCTGTCTTACCAAGCTGTCTTTCAGTCTCAGTTGAAAATTTTGAAACCTGTACCACAGCCTCAGGAAAGCGCATGAAATAAAATTCTTAAATAACAGCTTGAATTATTATAAGATACCTATATTTTTCCATAACTCTGTCTTAAAGCTCTCAGTCCTGAGATAAATAATCATATACTGCAGAATGAAGATCTGAATTATTATCAGATATTTTTCACGTAAGAAGTTACACAGTAGTTTTTAATCTGGATGGGAACATCACACTATTACGTTCTGTATGCTTGCTCTGCCAAAACCCTGCTCTGAAAGGCTCAGTAAAAATTTCAGTAGAAGAGGCAGAAAACTTAACAGATACTTAGTGCTTTGGACCTGTTTGGACAGAGCTAACAGCTTTGTCTTGTCTGAGTGAGGCACGTATGTAAGCTTTGCAAGTATTCTGTTCTTATTAGATAAACTGCTCGTGAAGATATGGTTGAAGATAGAAATTGTGAGCAAAACCTTGTCAGAATTTCAAATAAAGGTGCTGTTATGTTAATCTCTAGTTCAGTTCCACTTTCGGAATGTGGTGATTAATGTATCTATTGCGAACAGAATTTAAAATGCTAGGGTAAAGGTTTGTTGCAGTTATTGTCTCAGTTGAATCTCTGGTTCTGTGGTTAGTATGACTTGTGTTCAGCAGAATATCTACTTCAGCCTGTGAGCAGATCAGCATACAGGAAATCCAGGTGTCTGATACTGTGTCCTTTGTGGTGTCCTCACTGTCACAACTGTATCAAAATACAATGATGTTGTAGGGCATCTTCTTGTATCAACAACTGCCTTTTTTTATGGGCTTTTATGTGAAGCTATGACTGTGAACTATATTGGGAACTAGTTCAAAGTGTTACATATAGCCTGGTGTCAGAAATATCCAGATCCTGAGAATGAAGAATGTTTTTCAGTCCTCAGTCTTTGTGTTCAACAAAGTATGTGAGTATTTAGGGAAATGTGTATTTAAAAGTCAAGGAACTTGGAGAAATTGTTTTTCTACCCATATCTGCTTGTTTTGTGAATAATTCTGTTTTCTCATTACTTTGTAGGAACTCAGATGTCTGCTTTGTCTTTTACCTAAATAAAATATTGTACTTTCCTTTATCTGTCTGCACTTAATTGTATTTTATTTCTTAAGTTTATTTTCCGTATTATGTGAGGATTGCTGATAAAACTCGTGGGTTTTAGTAGTGCAAGTTATCCATATGCTTGTGAAACTCATGCATAAACCAATTTGAACAAGGCCCAATGCATACCTCTTTCTACTATACAGAGATTAAAACTGTATTATAAAGCTCTTTTTTTTTCCTTCTGTTTTGCAGGTAGAAAAAATAACTGGCCACCTCTTCCAGAGAATTTTCCAGTAGGTCCTTGTTTCTACCAGGACTTTTCTGTAGACATTCCTGTAGAATTCCAGAAGACAGTAAAGATTATGTACTATTTGTGGATGTGTAAGTATTTTTATTTTTTTTAAAATAATGTGACTGTTCAAACTTGGTACATACCTCCTACTTCGGCTTTTGCAACATCTGTAATGAGAAGTTGTTTTAAGCCTAGAAGTCAAATGTTGAAGTGAAATCTTTTTGTTAGCTTCAATTTTAAAAGTACTGAATTATTTCATAGAAACTTCCACAGAAAAAAGGAGGAGGATTATCCTAAAGCCATTTGGTTCTAGTATATTGCAGTTTTCTGGTTTAAGTATCTGTTGTTGTAAAATGAGCTTTGACAATTTATTAACTTAAAAATAATTTTACTGTTTGTAAAATCAGCGTATATATTAAGAAATGTAGTTCACAGTCAGTGTTAATAGACTTACAATTTTTAAGAAGTAGAATATCCATTTGCTTTATTATACATAGTTTTATCGAGTTTAATATAGGTTTTAGTCTGTAGCGGAGACTTAATATTATTTTAGTCTATCTTAAAAAGTTGTGTAAAGTAAATTAGCTGAAGAATCTAGTCCATGTTAAGACTGGCCTTTGTACACAGGAATGCTCTACACCATCTTTGTGGGGTCAATTTTGGCCTCATTCGGGTGCTGTTTTGCCTGGAGAAATGCTGGATGAACCAAATGTACAAATGCCACAGCATTTGTTTCTTCTGCCTTGTCCAGTGTCATGAGAGCCTAATAATTACTCTGAGATGGAGGAAATTCCAAAGATTTAGGTGCTGCCTTAATTTTTAGCATGCTAAGGGAATGTGAATTTCAGAACTTTTCTGTATTTTTTTCAGGGCTTCAGATTTAGGTAGCAAATCTCAGTAATTTTACCTGTTAATCTGGTAATCTTATTACTGTGATTGAACCACGTAATCAAAACACATAAAATGAGCAGTCAGCATTAAAACAAGTGAATTCCACTTAATCATAATCCACAGCTTTATATTAATTGCTGGGTCATTAATCTTCAAATAAGCAACTAAGTCCACTGTGGAATGTGTGACTAGTCACTCTCATAAATCTGACAGACATCTAAGATTTATGTAAAATCCAAGATCAAGTAGTCCAAAATTTTAAGATAGTTACTAATTCTGGCCATTTGCAGGACTGAATCCTGAAAGTGCCATATGTTTCAAACACAAAGTGAAGTTGGGCGGTGAGAACTAGACTATTAATACTGTTTTTCCTTCTTATGGCAATAAATAAAGGAAGCAGCAACTTTATACTATTTCAAATTATACAGGAGTTGTGCTTTTATACTAACATAACAGATTTTCTTCTAGGTAGACTGAGATTTTAACTGAGACCTCTTGCTCTTTTCCTTCTTTAGTTCTAGTGTTTTCTGATGGAGATTACTCAGGAAGGAAGGGAAAAGGCATACTAAAGGAAAAGAAAGACAAAATCTGTTACAGGCTAAAAAAAAAAAGATTTGAGTACAGAACTCTGTGCCTTAGGGCTGGCTGTGGGATCAGTCCTTGTGACTCTTTTTTCCCAGGATTGGATCTACATGGTTTGGCTCATTTTTCATTAGAGCAACTGTGCTTCCTCAGTGGACGCACTTGTTATCATAGCAAACCAGCCTGCTTCTGCTTGCTGCTCTGCCCTACATTTTATCTGCTCTTCCAGAACTTCCTAGATCTTGTAAAAGGCCTAGGGTTCTGTGAACATAATCACATTTGGATAAATCGAGTACTACTTGCTTAGCAGTTTGTAAAGTAAGTTTTCCTTTTTAGCAGCCCTAAGAACAAACCTTGTTGTTTCAGTTTTCTGTGTTTCCATGGTTAGAAGCAATTTTGATATCCTTATTCTTGGTCTTTATGTATCAGGAAACTTTTTTTACCTCTTTCACATCTATATGCTCCTTACCTCAGGAGAAAACAAGTCTGTTTGTGTCCCTATTCCATGAATTCATCCATCTTTTCTCTGTTTGTATCAGAAGTCAGAGTTTTCTGATTCCTTGATGTTTTTTCTTTGCATTTCTGCCCCCCATGGGGAGAACCATTTTTTGTTTTGTTTTGTTGTTTTTATTTTTAAGCTGATGGAGTGCTCCCATGTTTCGGTGAACTGCAGCAATCAATTAGCAATGGCTTTTGTCAGCTGCCAGTGGAGCTGTTCTATTCTGCTTTGGTTTCGTGACCATTGCTGGTTTAGTGGCTTCCAGATGGAATGACAGTTTTCCTGACTGTTTTGCACTGAGCAGTACTTTTTAGGTCTTTCTATGCAGTTACTAGTGAAATGTCCCATGTCTCTTGATGCGTATGTAACACCAAAATTTTTTGGCTCAAAAGCCTATGTTTTCCACCTACTTTCCCACAGGCTGATAGCATGCATGAAATTAGCAGTACTGATTTTCAAAGAATGTTTCTTATTTGAAGTTAACAAACCAAAGAGCTGGTTAATCTCACGGAAAGCTTTTGTGGCATTTGGGTTTGTTACTTTATATAGGTGGTGAATGTTTGCTTTTTCTATGAACAAGACTTTTAAAGGTTTTCTAAGACAAATTACTTAAACTGGTAGATGCTGATAGAAAAACAATACCCTAAAGTGCCAACTTCTCTGGTATTTTTTCTGTTTAGGAGAGTTTCATCTCATCAATCCTGCTGTCTGAGGATACAATCAATAGTAGATGTATCAGTCTGTGTTGATGTTTGTTCTGCCTGTTCCCAAGAACCTCCAAGGATGAACACTTCTTAAACTCTCCCAAGCCTGTTGTAGTGTGTTGCTGTCTTTTATGTTTACAAGCATATAATTCTATTCTCCTTTCATGTGATTGATCTTAGCTGTTGTGTCCACTGTTGTTACGGAGAACACATTTATCCCCATTAGTTGTCTCCTTTTGCCTAAACTAGCATAGTTTACTCAGCCTTTCTTTATACATTATGTTTTCCAGATGTCTCATTGTTTTGGTTGCTGTCTTACAGATTCACTGCTTGGTCCACTCCATATTATTATGTTTTTTTTTAGTGTGTAGCATCAAGAATTTTGCAATGTGGACTATGTCTAATACTTTAGCCGAAGTCCAGATGTACTGTGTAGAAGAAAAAAAGCGCCTTCAGATTTTTGATTACATGTGCTTAATGTTATGTCCTGATCTAAGCCTGTTTTAGAATGTTATTTTTTACTGTGGAAAATACTGTCGTTTGTAAGGTGTGTTTGCACATGTCTTACCCGCCTTCTGTCCAAAAAGAGCAGAACAGACAAGGAACAGAAGCCTAAACTACATTTGAAGTCACTCTGTGCTCCAAGGTTGTGTGTGATCAAAGTTCACCAGCTTTGTTCTCTCTTGCCAGTCGCCTTATGGCTTCAAAACCCTCTGTTTCATAGGCATCCCATTCCCCTTGAGGGAGTCTGTTACAGGGTGACAGTCCAGCTGGTCCCTGGGAAGAAGCGCTTGCTTTTGTCATGTATCATAGAGAGGGCTTTGGTTTCTGGAGAATACCATCAATAAAACATGACTGAAATGAAACTTATTACGAAAATCTGTTTTCATACAATCTCAAATGGGACTGCAAAATAATAATCCCAATAATGTAGGCAGCAAGTAGCATTGGTGCAGCTTGTGGTCTTTATGTACCATTCCCTTTCAAACATTAATGGATGATAAAGTGTAGTGAATTAAGACAGGGAATGTGTATCTACATAGGATTCTTCTGTACAAAGAAGCTTACACTACTAAAAATGAAGTTGAGTCGAATATTTATGAAAGTGATGTAATTTCCCATGGTTCACTCTTATTCTGGCATGAATGTCCCCCCCCCCCTTTTTTTTGACCTCAACTGCTTCCACAGCTATACTAGGAGAAGGCTTTCTTAGATCACTTCACATAGAGTACTGTATTAGTATAGCTGTGTAGTTACTGTCATATAGACATTGCATGTTATAGACTTCTGCCAAAGCCTTAGGTCATTTACACCCCCAGGTGGTCATTATCTTCTAATAACTTCCATCATAGTTTAATTTGAAGAGCCAAGTAGGTTGAAGGTACTTAAAACCGTTACCCTGAACATAAAAACACCTGTCTGTTCATACAACAGCAGAGCTTATCTAGGTCACTTAGGGATGGTGTTGGCTCAAAGAAAAATGCCTTTCTCTAGCATGCACCAGGCAGAGAGAAGGACAAGTAGAGCGAAGGGAGAATTGTCAGTTAAGTCCTGTGTCTTCGTCTGTAGCTTGCTAATACTTGTTTTTTACAGCTGAGATTTTCCGTGAAGGTAGTGAAATAGACTCCTGTATTGCTGGTTTTATTGTGTTAATAAGAGTCCATAGTGAGTGTGATGTTTCAACCCTTTTATATGCTAATGGTTTTATTTTAAAACTTGTCATTTTATCATAGTTACAATTAGCATAAAAGCAGTAATTTTGGGAAGTACAAACTCCACAAGATTGTGGATGTTTCTAGTAATCTAGGGAATCAGTTTTCCAGTATTGACTAGAAAAAGAAAGAATACCCCTTAGTGAGCTTTCTCGTACTTGTCAAAGCAAGGCAGGAATTTGGAGTTGTATTCTTCGTTGTGCTTTATGAGGCATACATACACAAATGCCGAAATGAGTTGCTTTGCTGACCTCTTGGGACAGTGTTAAGATATGTAGATGCATTAAATGCTTTTTATTTAAAAGTACAAAGTTTTCTGTTTCTGGTAACTCTTAAACAAAAATATGATTTGTTTCAGGGAAATGTTTTGAGTTTCATCAGCCTTTCATGCAATGATATGGGAATTTGCTTTAAGATATTTTAACACCAAGTTGATTTAGGGCTAATTTAAGTACTAGATAAGAGAGCAGCAAAGAGTTTGAGGAGTCTTTTTTTCAGAATCTATTAATCTTGCCAGTTCTTCTGTTAACCTTACCTTTCAGTAGAATGACTAAAATGTTTCCTTGAATTTAATATAAAAATCATTGCTGTAAGGAGCAGTTTGTGCGCTCTCAGTTATAAATACTCTACTTTGTCCTGGTCCACAGGGACCGAAACTGTCCTCTCAGATAGAAACATAACTCTTGAATTACTGGGTATTGCTGAACGAAGACAGAAGTTCATGTTCATATTATAAGCGTGGCAGAACTAACTTCTGTGTGAGATAGCATGAAGGTAGTAGTTGTAATGTTTCTTAATACTGCTGTATCTTTTTCTGTTCTAAGAACTAAATATACTTGATATAGACTGTGAAGTCATAATGCCAGTGCATTACGTTTAGTAGAAATTCAGTAGTTAACCTGTAACAAGGTCTGCCAATGAGAAAATGCTAGTATTGAGCTAAGAATGGAGCACCAAAAAATCAGATGTTTAAGACAAATGTTTTAAGAAATATTTGAATATGCAATATGTATTAAAGGATCTAGAACAGCTTCTTGCAGTTATTACTGTAGAAAAAGTATCAATTATTGCAGCTGTAGAAACCTCTTTTTCCGTCATTTTAAGTTTGAAAATGTTTTATTTTTATGACAAGATTTCTTCCTTTACCATGCACCTGATAGGATTTGAATTTTCTTGTTCAGTACTTTCACTTGTGAATACAGGGTTTACCTGAAAGTTAGAAAACTGTATAAAAATCAGCTTTTTGCTGAGGGTGTTGAGAGGGTATTGATTTATTGTTAGCATGCTGATGTTTTGTTTAAAAATGCTCAGTTTGCGTATTCCTTCAACAGTTGTAATAATTTATTGTGTAAACATAACTTAATCGAGACTATTTTGCTTTTGCTTCTACAGTCCATACAGTGACACTGTTTCTTAATATCTTTGGATGTTTGGCCTGGTTTTATGTTGATGCTACGCGAGGGGTTGATTTTGGATTGAGTATTCTCTGGTTCTTGCTTTTTACCCCTTGTTCTTTTGTCTGCTGGTACAGACCACTTTATGGAGCTTTCAGGTAACAACTTAAACTTGACTTAGGATATTTAAGAACTTGTCAAAATGCATTAACACTCCAAAATTTGCTTGTCATTATGGTAATACTTTAATATGCTTTGATGAGAAACAAGTAGTATGTTTGCCATTTAATTCAGTTGTTCTATTTGAAACATGGATGGCAATAGTTAGGGACATCATGGAATATCCTTTGGAGTATTTATAGCTTCTACCATTGACAAAATATTTCTAGGAAATAGTTAACTTTGTATTGGGCTGATAATGATTTTAAGGAAAGTTTTCATTAAATCTCTATCTCCTCACACCAAGAATTTGAGCAGGTTAATAGTTAAGCGTGTCTTAAATTTTTGGCTTACTGAATGAACTTCATAAAACTCTACACTTAATCTTAAATTGTTAAGTGACCTGCAGTGTCTGTAACTGAAGTAGACTGAGATTCTTAAGAATGAGTAGAGCAGGTGTACTGTAATCAAACTCTAGTATTTTTCCTAGCTTTTAGCCATCTTTGCAGACTTGACAAGCACAAGGTGTGGTAGCTTTGTGTTTAAGAATAGAATGGTTGGTTTGCATGCAAAATTGAACTTTGTTTTGGTGAAAATCAGCATGTAGACTTCTAAATCCTATATTCTTACAGTATTTCTTGGGAATTTTTGTTTTCATTGACGTGATTAAAGATATTCTCAAATGCACTCATTCTTGTAGAGAAAGACTGATGGCCAGAAATCACACTTAAACATAACCTTTAGACTAAATGAGATGGTGTTTCTTTTTGCTAATGAAGGAGGTATTGCTGTACCCACACATCATTGAGGAATCATATAGTTTAACTTGCATTTGCCCTATAGCTTTTCGTAGTGAATATTGATTGTTTGGAAAAGAAAAACTACTACTTGCATATTCAACTTTCAGTCAGTTGCTTAGCTGAAAATGAAATAATTATTGAACTGAACTGTTTGAATAAATAGAAGTGAACAAAATCCCTGCTGCAGGAAGACCTATCAACGTCAAAGTCTGGTTCTGTGACTTAACAAGTGATTTCTACTTTCTTTAGAACTCTGGTAGCAAGCATATCATGTGATCATTAGTTTCCATAGTAAGAAGTTGAGTTCTTTGTTGAGATTTTGCCTGTACTTTTATATATGTGTATATATACTTTTTTTTTTTTTTTTTTTACTTTCAGTCTTTGGCAGGCTGGCTTTTTAGTAGTTTAAACAGCAAACCTATTTTGTATATTTTCCTTTTAAGCAACAGCTCCTTCAGTGTTCTGGTCTGCACTGTGTTTCAGTAATTCCATATTAGATTTTATTTCCTTTTACAAGGAAGTATTTTTTTCCCATCCTGCCATCACTGTGAACTTCAGTCTGAAAGTGGAGCAGAATTCTGTTCTTCATGTAGTAAAACTTCTGTGTTTAGTGTCAGAGGCCCTGCTGCATGTTGAACATTACACTAAGGAGTAGTATCTCAGTGCTATTTTCACCTCTGTTAGAGGTGCAGGTGGCAAAAATACTATATTAAAGAAGCAGCTCTCGTAAATAAACACTCCACAGAACCACAGAATTAATACTTTAAGTCACTGTCAATAAATGAAAGCACTTTTCCTCTAGTTAATGCAGAAAAAAAAATAGATTGGTACTACAGTATTTGCAAAAAGTCACTAATTTCCTGCCTGCTTTAATTTTTATTCCCCTCTCTTTCAGGAGTGACAGTTCATTCAGGTTCTTTGTGTTCTTCTTTGTATATATCTGTCAGTTTGCTGTACATGTGCTTCAAGCTGCAGGATTTCAAAGATGGGGAAACTGGTGAGTATTCTCTTTGTTGTAATGTTTTACTTTCTGTAAGACACACTCATATTTGATAAAGCAACTGCAATATATTCTGTGTGTTTTTGCAAAAAACCAAATCTAGTATTGTCTGGAATTGCTACATTGACCTGCTGTGCCACCTGGCCAGATGGGATCCACCCGAGAGTTCTGAGGGAGCTGGTAGGGGAGCTTGCCAAGCCACTCTCCATCATTTATCAACAGTCCTGGCTAACAGGGAAGGTCCCAGAACACTAGAAACTTGCTAATGTGACACCCATGTACAAGAAGGGCCCTA